ACTCTTTTGGGTCATCCATGGTCCAATATAGTGAGGACCCCCCCCCCCCCCACACACACACACACACCCAACCTCATGAGCACAAAAAGCAGAGCGGTGCACAATCATTGCCGCAGTTCATGTTTCTCTTCACGCAGCACTAAAATTTGCAGCGCGAGCTTTGCCAGACTGTCGGGACGCCGTCGATGGGGCGCTCATCCCAACAAAGTCTGGCGTTCCTCATGGCAGCTCTCCACCGTTCTGGATCACAATGAGGACCAGTCCCTTTGTGTTTCCAACCTATTGTCCGTGGTTTAACATCCCAGGTAAGAAGTTAAACGTAACGCAAGCTTCATTTTACTGACAACATTTAACTGTCCATTAAATCTTGAGCCCTAGATTATCGGATAGTCAAAGGAAGGATTGATATTGAGGTAAACGGAAGTTTTAATGCATACAATCATAGTTTTACGTGGATGTAAATTAAATGCTGCAGTAAGTTGAGTTTATTCATGATTTTGGACCTTGCATGTAGGAAGCTGCTTCTCAGGGCTCAGAGTTCTCCACAATCCTCTTGACGGCTTTGCCAGAAGGAAACTACAAACACGAGGACGTTGCCAGTCTGGTGTGGCAGTACTTCCCCAGACAGACCCTCCACGCTCTGTACTACAACGTTCTGGTCCTCCCCCTGCAGAGGAGGGTAAGGAGCTGACGGACCGACACAAGCTGGTCGTCGTTTTGGTCACAGCTCTGCTCTCTCTGCTCCAGGCGTTTGTGCATTTCAGCAGCTGGAACGCCTGCTGCCGCTTCGTCCGACGTCACGCCGAAAGTCCCGTTTCTGTCGAAGGCTGCGAGCTCAAAGTTCACTTGGTGGTCGAGGACATGCAGCCGGGGTTCACTGAGGTGAGGAAACCCTGAAGAATGTGGTTCAAACCTTTTTTAAATTGTATTAAAAGGGACTCTGTGTTTTCAGGAGAGGATGTACAGAAGTTTGATGAACTGGAGCAACGTTGTGAGTCCATCAGAGATGACTGTAACTCTGTCAAAGCAGAAACTTACACAAACTGTTTCGTCAGCCTGTTTCAGAGCTCGTGCCTCTGGAGGAGCGTCTGCTGTGTGTGGAGGTCTCTGAAGCGTCCGTCCAGCTGGTCACCATGGTCATGACCGAAGTGGCATCGGTTGCCGACTTCGTCAACTTCCTGCCGCTCGCCAACAGGGTATCGATAATAAACCGTGGCGTTCGTCTTCAGTTGATGTGTAACCAGGACAACGTGTTGAAGGCTTTAAAGTTCAGATTTAAACAGTTTTTGTTTTAACAAACGTCCGACGTTGTTTTTGTCTCCTGTTGGAAAACTAAGAGCGAGAGTTTAGAAATGCCTTCTATCTGTTTGTGAGTCGGAGAACTCGTAAAATTCATTTTGTCTCTGCATTTGGGCGAAAGACAAAACTGGGTTTCCACGTTGTTAAAATCAGAGGGGGGGGTTCGAGAGAGGGGGGGCGAGAGAGAGAGAGATTGGGGTCGAGAGAGAGAGGGGGTCGAGAGAAAGAGAGAGATGGGGTCGAGAGAGAGAGACAGAGAGAGAGAGA